TCATCCTACCTGTGCACTGCCGTGGTGAGACAATTCCGGCTACCCCAGCTTATAGGGGAAAATATAGTCCAGCCATTCGGGCAAATCCCTCCCCTCTGCTTCCCTCACGTGGATAAGATGTGTAACTAAGGTGTACCCATATATGTTTAATGTGTTGTAATCACTCCTTTTGAACCTCCTGCCCCAAATTGCTTTGTTTTCCCCACAATAAACCTTGCTGTTGTTAGAAATTTAGTAAGCACTGAGCGAGTTATTCACTCAAAAAAGTCAGGACATAAGTTCCTGTATCCTCTGTGTGAGGCGATACCCACGTGTGGATCTCTCAGCAAATCCTGATAAGTTAATACACTCCAATAAGGAGATATAATAGGTCACGGATCGTGACAATTAGTTTGGACTTTTTTCTGAGGACCCCACAGTTTTGCCCTGTCGCTCTCCAAGCAGATCAGGCTGCCTGTCTGCTTGGTGAGTATTCATCTACCCATGTTTCTCAAAGGAGTCTTTGGTTCTTTTTAATTCTGAGAGGCGATTTGCTTTTGAGGGTTGCCTCATCTTAGAATCAGTCGTGTTTAATGGGGTATTAATGTTGGTTTTAATTAGCCAAGGTACTTAGGTCCTTCCTGGGTGTTCTCCCCAGCAGTTCTGAGCCCGGTTTGTGTGTCTGAGGAACTGGAGGCGGATTTGCAGCAGGCGGCAGCAAAGAGTCGCCGTTGTTTTTCTGCTTGCCTGTGTTCCTTGTCTATAGATTTTATCCAATTCCTTTGTAGCACAAAACATTTATCTGGTGGGTAGGACAGGGAATGCTAGGAGTAATGACCAGGTTTAGGCTGTATCTGTCTGCTCAAGTGGACAAACTTACAATAAGTGGAAAAATTATTGTACTGAAAACCTAGAGAATTGTTCTGATGGGATTTTTATCTGGACTCATTGCCTCCCCAGCGTTCCTAAGAAGCCAGTAAGAGGAGAGGAAAAATGAAGGCCACCATCGTATGTGGAAGCCCTTAGTTTAGGTGCAGCTACCTGCATGCTCTGTCTACATTTACCACCTAGATGGCATGTCTGGTTGTGGCCTGGTGGAAGGTTTTCCTTTTCCCCTGAGATACGCACTGCTAATTGAAAGAAGAATGAACAAAAAGGTGAAAAAGAGAACTGATGTTTCCTGTGGGTTCCAGATTTTTGCATGAGTGGGAACTTTCTGGGACCCAGCATTCTACAGAGTTGGTACCCAAAGTGCAGCTTCCCAATTCCCACCAGCCCCAGAGATCTCAGGTGAGCACAGGGACAAAGGTGTACCAAGAGCAGGAAGAAAACATGCTACAGAATGACTTGTTGCTGTGGCAGGACATGATTTAAACTGTTATAGTCTGTGTCTGTGCTGAAAGTACTTTCAGAGTTAAGCTCTCTGTTGTGCAGAGCTCCTTAATGTGTGAGGCTTGGCCTCCTGCTTGCACTGCCAATGCTTCAGCAAGGATTTCAGGTGGGATTAAAACTGCAGAAGCAAGGAGGAACTGTGGAAGTTATGGGTGTAGGAGCTAAGAGTGACTCTAAGTGTATTGGTCATAATCCTTTTCATGCTGAGCATGTAACCAGCATAGATATTCAACTATTGAGTCATCACATACCTTGAACCTGGAGGACCTGAGATATATCAAATCCTTGGCTGATTCTGACTATAATCATACCGAGCTCAAAATCAAAGGCATCACTGAAAAGAAAGAAAAATATATTTGTATCCTTTTGCATCATGTATGTCACTGAGGGATGTTACTTTGAGCAGATTGGTAAAAGTGTTAATGCTCACAGGGAGGTGTTACTGCCATGCACTAGGCTGCTTCAGGTAAAATTGCAGAAGGAATTGCCCAAGATTTAGTAAAGTACTATTGACTTTCTTCCCTCATTTGAAAAAAAAATGGGATAGTTGGGTATTGGAACAGATAGGCTAATCCTGAAAGGGGTCTTTCTGATAACACTTTCTAGGAACTACGTTGCCAATGGATAATTTTTTCTCCCTTCTCTGATAAATAACAAAGCTGAGATGGGTTTCCTTGTTCTTTATCTTGCTTCAACTTTACAGGTGAATTTTGAGCAAGAATGTATGAGAAGCCCATTTTCTGACTGACTGTTTCCTACCTAAATCTCAACCCACAGAGCTGATGAGCCTTAGGGACATAGGGGATTTGAAGCAAGGTTCTTCCTCTGTCTCCTAGGCTTAAAAGAAGAATTCCATTATGTTCTCTTATTCCTTAAGTATGTATGTTAGGGTTGTTTTTCTCTTGAGTTCCTGCCCACTAAAAATGGAAAAACACAATTCTGCAAAAGCACTACTGACAGCAGTGCAGCTTCCTTATGTAGCATTGTCAAGGCATATCAGCTCTGACAGTGCCAGATGTTTGCTAAGCAGATCCTGCTAGGTGTGTGAAGCCAAGGAACCTTTTTTAATAGGCAGAAACTGTTACCAACTTTGTAGGTATTTTCTTACATTTTTTCTACACCTTAAATTCTGTACAGAAATGCTGTATAAATGTAAACTTAAGAGGAGTAAAAAAGGAAATGCTGATCTGTGACTTACTGTATAATGCCCACGTAGTTTTCAACTTGTGTGGCAGGGGCATTTCTCCAGTCCTTCTTAAATCCAATCACCAAGGTATTTGGTTTCATTCTACCCAAGCCTGAGGCCTAGCAATATTAAAACACTATTTGAGAAGGTACACACATGCTTTTACTGCAAATGAAAAGTAATGGCAAAAGATAACTGAAGTAATGTTCTGGAGACACTTACAACTAGATTGCATTTCATGAATGTCCTTCATGCTCATTTCCATGCAGAAAGCTGAAAGATTAGCTCTAAATCATTCTAACTATAAATGATTTTAGATGACAGAAATGTAGTTTTGCTAAATTAGCATTCATTTGCATTTCTTCTGACATGCTCTCATTAAAATGGTTCAATAACTTGGAATCAAGAGAGATTTCAAGCACTGTTTGTATGCTCATTCTAATATAATAACATACAGCTTTTATCAGTTTTGGAATACTCCATAAATGAACTGGGTCTAAAGTCTCTTAAACACCTCAGAACACTTGCAGACAATTCGTAAGAATTTATTTTTTTTTTGCCTTGAACTTGGAAACTATTGCTGTTCCAAAATATTATCCAAAATTAGCTGAGTCTATTTTATAGATAAAATTGCAGTTTATAAACAGGAAGAACAATGGTTTGTGAAAATATTAGATTGCCTCAAAACTGGACCTGAATGCTAAAACCTGAACAAGTATGGGTTGTGAGGTCTAGATTCAGCTAATCTAATTTTTATAGAAATCTAAAAACGTATTGGGAGCCTTTCAGGAGACCTACAAATACACCAGCTTGTCAGGTTGTTACACTTGCCAAATTTTACTACTAGCAAAAAGAAAATAGATAAAACTGTTGGAACCTGGGTGGGTTTTGAGTGGCACAGATGTAGATGCACTATTTACATACAAATTAATAATTGGTTGGCAAAGCAATGCAGGTGTCCTTAGGTTACCATCATGATGATATGGTTATACTTTTGTTTGCTGGAAGGCAATTATTTGTAGTCTGGTAGTTAGCTTTAGCAATTGTATTTAAGCAGTAATGGAAAGGAAGAGATCATCAGACTGTAACAGTTCACAAAAACATCAGAAGGATCTCCTGCTGTGGAAGTGTATAAACTCAAGATGAAGTGTCCTTGTGAGGCTTTGATACAACAAAGAGGTCTTTATTAATAATATTTCATCTTGCTTAATCATGCTGTCCATTCAGTGTGTGTACAAAGGGCCCTGGTAGGCTACCAGTGGGTGACTGTTACCCAGCGTATTTTAGTTGATTCCCTACTGTCTCAGTTTGCACTGATGTCTTTTCAGCAGTGTGTTTTGTTCACAGGAAGGGAATTTTCTCTACATTTTGCCTCAATATCAGTGTGTTTAAATATTCATATATGTGAGAGAGAGATTGATGGGAAATACGCAAACAGTGCTTCTGAGCCTTCATTAAAGCCATTTTAAATGGACTGTTGGAAATGTTCGGCTGTATTCTTAGAGCAACAGGAAAATATTGCACTCTTTTTATTTAGATCGCCTTCTTGTTTGGAGAAAGTGTATATTACACATTTTCAGTCTTCAATGGCTGCATAAATATTCTCAGATATTTAATATGCTGCATAATACCAAACAATAGAATTGAAGTGTATCAAGTGTTGACTGCATAGACATTGATACGTTGCTCTCTAGATGCCTCCCTTTTTTTTATATTAATGTCTTGTTCATTTAGGAGAGAATCGGTCTTCCTTGTCTTATAATTCCATAGCCCAGAAGCAGATGTCTTTATGAAATAACATGAATTATAATATACATGTACCCCCAGAATGCCCTTTCTGTTTATAATGTTACCCATATATACACAGGGATGCTTTGATGTAGCACTCTTCTGTGTGTTCTGTAAACAAAAATCTTACTTGAAGTAGACTTTTGACTCCCTCTCTGAAGCTTTCAGCTGCCACTGCTGCATAAAAGGCTTTTCTTTTGTTCTTTGTGAGCCAGGCCTGCTTTTTTGCCATGCCGCTGTTCATCTCCTTAACACACAGCTTGCGTGGGCCCTGCATGATACAATAAAATGTTATTAAGAAGTCTTTGTATTATACATCACACAATGATTTTGAAGGAGTTACCTAGTCTGCTGTGGGAGCAAATGGAGAGAGTCAGAAAAATACACTTCCAAAAAGGGCCCACAGAGATTCAGCCCTTTGAAATGAACTGTGCTGCTAATAGCATTCACATTCTGTTTGAGAGTGCCAAGGCTGTTAATGCTACTTAAATATAGTGATTCTGACAGAAAGAAGGACTACTATAGATTGTAACATCTTAGAAAAATATCTGAGGTTAGGTGAAACATTTCATGGTGAAAAAAGTCCCTCCCTGACTTGACTTCGTAAACAATTCTTGCTTGGAATCCAGTGAGTATTTCTGTGTGCCTAGCTTGGGAAGTGGCATCAGTTTGGTATGTTATAAACAGATAGTTTTGAACTTGAGTTTGCTGCAGAGTTTCAATTTGTGCAGAAGCCATTCCTATGTGTCTTTTAAAATTTATAATGTTTTTGAGGATGCTGGCAAGTTCCAGTTTTTGTTCCAATGGAACAGATGACTAGAGAAATTCTAGAAGTTGTTGCCTATAATATGAAACTAGGACGGCCTAGTAAGCTCATGCTCAGGAGATTGTATTTCAAAATTCATATTTTAGTGTTTAAAGTAAGTTGGTATATGGTAGCTGCTTCTGCTAAACTGGGAAACTGGTTAAAATAGAGCTGAGGGGGATTTAAATATTTTTTTTTCTAGCAAATACTGCAAGCTCAAAATTTATTTCCCTTTGAAGAACAGAGTAAATTCAAACTAAAAAGAAATATTTTCTCCAAAGTGAAATGTGTGGGAGGCATCACTTAATTCAAATATCAATTCCCAAGAGGTAACTTGCAATGTAAACCCAGAACATCCTTCTTTCAAAACTTTTCAGCCTTACTGGAACTTTTTTTTTTTTTTCCTTCCTGGAAGAAAATGGAATGTACTACACAGTTATGTGGATGTAGAACTAACTGCAATACATTTACCTTCAGCGAATTGGCATTGGCTACTAGAAAAGGAGGCAAGGCCTTCAACATAAACTTTCCAGCTAGTTTCATCTAAAAAATTGAAAATGGCATGGAGAGAGAAGCTGGGAGATGACCTGGCAAAATGAGTTTTAGCCTGATCAAAAGTAGGCTGAGTTCAGGTGTTGTCCCTCATACCTATTTCTGAAGTCCTCTTATGGCTCTTTGGGAAGTACCAGGAGAAGGATGGGAGAGTCTGTGTGATCTTCCATTAATGAGATCATGCTACATTCTTAGGTGATAGTAAATATACTGGAATTTGTTTGGATTTAATGAGTGTAACTTAAGAAGAGTTTGATCTTGGCTGTTGGAAGAGTAGTGTGAAGAGCTGGGAATAGTAAGTTGAACAATAAAGTTGAAGTCCCCTTGTGGTTAAGGAGAGGAGCAAAAAAGTCTTACCCTTGTTTCCAGTATGTCTAATGAGATTTCCTGAAGGTGATTTCACAACTGGTTTGCACAGTGTGTTTCTGCTGGCCAAGAGAACAGTCCCACCCTTCTATCACGTGATAGCCTGTCTGTGTCCTTCCCTGCTCATCCTTTGTATCAGTGTTAATCTTTGTCCAGTGAATTTGCTGACTGAAGACTAACCTTGCAAAAATATTTTTACATGAAGGCAGGGATTAAAAGCAGAATAGCCCTTTGTACTAGAAACTCAGACTGTTGAAGCCAACGTGCAACTGCAACTTCAGAGACACATGACTTTAAAATCATCTTTATGCTCAGTTGCCATATTCATTTTCCCTATCTCTGAACTGTCTATCACCATGTTTCTGAAACGTTTCTTGCTGTTCCTTGGAAAAAAGGGAGGGAAGATGGTCTGTCTAGCATGGTGTCTCAAAATTTTATGCATAGCTAGCAGCATGTCAGCTTTTAAGGCAAAACATGCAGTGTGTTACATTTATGGCTAAATAGTCTTGATCTGTTTGTTATTATATATATTGTAGGCTGCTCTCCAACGTGGTTCCTAGGAATCATCCACTTTTAACCACAATTTTGCAAATCACAAAAGTTCATTTTGTCACACTTTTATTAACAACCAAACTAAATTTAGCTTAAGTTGCTGAAGGAATAACAATTTAAAACCCAATGGAAATAAGCAAAATAGACTTCTTTTTTTTTTTTTTTATATAGACAGGAATGAAAACTCAGTTCTCCATAATGTTAGAGAAACACGCCTCAGAATTCAGAAAGCTTGCTGCAACTCAAATTTAGGAAGCTGCACAGTTTCAGGATCTTTGTTGGGATTGATTCTGCTACTACTCAGTGCAGTAGGAAAGCTAACAATAATTACAGTAGAGAAGAATTAGGACCATTAATTCTTCATGGATTTGATTTGGGAAGTATCACACATAGACCTTCTGTACTCCCTTTCTGCAATGTGGCAGCATCAAATGAATTATTCCTACAGTGCTCTAGAGGCATATATTGTCTTGCCTGGACTGACTCTGTTAAGAGTCTCCAGTCCCATTTGGTGCCACAAGCGGTTTGCCTTTTTTTTTTTTCCTCTCCAAATTAAAAGGTTGAAATATTTAAAATACACTTTCTCCTCTACACTGCAAACCCATCTATTTTTGTTCACTCACAATGAGAGACTAGATCTTCATCCTTTAGGAAACATAATTTCCTGTGTATTTATAACTAGAAATATACTTTGCTCTTCTCTTTATATCTCAGAAGAGCATTTTTATCCTCAAAATTAGCATTGTTACAGTTTTGGAGAAACCACTGCAAAGAGAGCTGAATTATTTGCCAAACCCCAATACTGCACATCAGTGACAAAGCTGGAAATAGAGCCTGAGTAATTTGACTATTGCACTATAATCCTTGAAGTTTTGGTTTTTTGAGGGGGGATTTTCTTTAAGTCTTGCCTTGTCTGTAAAAAAAACCCAATTCTTTGTAATGCTTACTTACTTCAAACCATTTTTGGTTGACTATAAACTCTGAAATGCATCTGAATAAAGCGTTTTCCAGCAGGCTTTGTATCAGCCAACAGCTTTCTTATCAAGACTTGGGACAAAATCCACTCTCAAGGCAAATCTCTTCATGGTTTGCACAGATGCCTATCAGCACCGTTGTGTGCTGAGTGAGGGCGGAATGTGCAGAGACCTGTAGCGCCCACTGGTGCTGCATTTGCAGATGTAACCCAGCTGCCCTTACCGTGTACACTTCACAACAGATGCACAGCCCGTTGTTCTTTGTGAAAGTATGTGTGATGTCCAGCAGTGCAGGCCTGACCATAGGAGCTCCTGTTAATGCTATGCACTGGGGTCTGTTAGGAGGAAAAGAGAGGCTGTGTTTAATTGGGGAATTTACTTACAATAAGCCATTCTACTCTTCACTTGAAATCTTACCTGAAGTTTTTCACATGGTCTTCCACTGTAGTTAATGCCAGAGCACTGTCTAAGGCATTAATATAGTAAAGAGCTTGTGTAGAAGAGCCCCAATTTACTTCTGCATATAATAAAGATAAATAATGCATATTAAACCATGGGATTTTCAATATGTTCTATTGCAAAGGTCAGAAATGACATTATTTATGAGCCAAAAGAGGGTATATTCTCTTATCCTTCCTAGATACAGAGCTATTGTTCTTTGCACTCCATAACAGAGTAGGTTTTGCTTGCATGATGCAAAAACAAACATGCAATTAAATAATCCCATTCTTTATATACATATATATAAAATATATAAAAATTGTAGGGAACTTCCTTCCTCTGGTTAAAAGCTGTTTTATTATCTGTTCCATTAACTTTGTATCCCTCTCCCATGTATAAAGTGGATAGCCCCGAGTCATGTATTTAGTGTGGAATTTCACAAAGTTCCAATTAAGCCATTAGGAAGGAAAATGTCTAGGGCCAGTTAGCTCTGTTCTACTATATTGATCCAAAATTGTTCTTCAAAACCAGTTTTTCATATTTCCATCTTTTCTTGTTATTGTGTAGCTGTTTGGTGCATGGAGGCAGATACAAAACAGCTTTCCACTGAGATCTGTGTGAATGCAGATCAAGTCCCGTTATACCAATATATAAAGCTAATAGTTAGTGCAAATAAATGGAGGTTTGTGTAGAGGTCATCTTTTGTAAGGAATATTTGTCTTTTCTGAACCCTTCAGTTGCTGGTAAATCAGTGCTGAACAGAAGTCACTCTCTGGAAGAGCAGGATATAGATAGATGCCTTTTGCAGTGTCTGCAGTGAACATAACCAAGCTTTAAGGTGCTGCTCTGTGGCAAGGACACTGGCAATATATAAGGGAAGGGTAGAATTCCTCAGATGCTTTTGCCAACTGTCTTGTGACAGGTGCATTTTCCTACAGCTGATGGTATTTACAGGAGGAGAACCACAGATCATCCCAGTCACAGATAGGGTGGACACACAACAGGGCAGTGATACACACAGAAAAGAGTAACAGGCTCACACCAGGTGTTGCCATCCCAAACTAGCTGCAGTGAAACCAAATCTTCTGCTGGGAACCTTGCCCCTTTTTATTTTTATTAATTTTTTCTACTGCAGAAGATGATTGGCACTAAAATTGGCATCTGTTAGTTTTGTGCTGGGTATGAATAACCAAAATGTCTGGTCTCATACTGGTGCTGTATTGTATTAGTGCACAGATTTCTGAGGACAGCTCCTGTGGTTTGCTGAGCTGCTAAGCGGTTAGTTCCAGCAATAGAGTGTGACTGTCTTTCTTGATTTATTGAGGGATTGCAGGGAGGTGCTGGAGAATGATCCATTCATGAATAATTCAGCTTACATTTGTGTTGCATAATGGCCAGCAGGTTTACATTTTGAGTGAAGACACCATATGAGTCAGCTAGGAGCACAGCAAAATTCATCTGTTTTGTGTGTGGATGGAAGAAAATTATGAATGATACTCAAGTTAAAGCCCAAATGTAGTGAATATGTGGTAGGAATAAACTGGTGTGCTGAAATGTTTACATAAAGCCCAGGACCATACTTAAAGTGCTTGTTAAACAGGCAAAAATTCATCAGACTGTCCTCTTAATCTGTCTTATATAAAGTGAGATATAACAGGGTGCTCCAGACTTCCTTCTAAAGAAAGATACTGGAAAAAAGTAATGCCTTATTCTGTGGGCAGAATTTCTGTAAGGTCCCACCTGGCTGCATAAAACACACACACACACACACCCACAAATAGTTTTCTGGCCTTACCTGGTTTCTTATATGTTACATAAATATACAGAAAGAGCTCAATGGCATAAGTGATGAGAGCTGCCCACCAGTTGATGACAAACATGACACCACAGCACAACAGGGCTCCAAAAAGTGACACCCACATGTTATAATATCTGAATGCAGGTCTCCAACCTGTTTAAAGAGAATTGAGGAAATTGGAAGAGCATAAAATAAATTGATCAAATGGTGATCCACTGATCTTGTGCATACACAAGAGAGGGGATGATATGTGCAGATTTTCAGGAATCATGACTACCAACAGATACTTTCAAGTCTTGGCTGATGTAGATTTCTATACATAGGCTACTGGGTCTTACGAACCTTTTGAGTAGCTATTCTATTTATATGTATTTTTTTCCCAAATTAAAGCTCACTGATTCAGAACTGAAAATAGGTTTTCCTGTAATTCCAGGTAATTAACAACTGTGTCCTTCTGATGCATATACATAGAACTTATTAATGGGAGCTAAACACTTGTGGAGAGGAAAGTTTATCCCAATACTGTGAGTGCACATCTTATACTTGAAAATTGCCTGGCCTCACTGCAGAAAAATAATATATTTTGCAACTGACTTTAGAAAGGTATTATTCCTG